CTCCGGTGTGGGGGTCCTAAGCCGTTATTCACGGTGACTGGGTCGGAGGAGGCAGACCCGCACCGGGGGTTAAGTCTGCAGAGGCCAGACCTCTGCCTGCAGTGAGGTGTGAGGTGCCCGGGGCACTCGGACGGGTGTAACGGTAACGGTGGTTGCCGGGGCACGGGTAGGACTGTAGCCCCCGCACAGCCACAGCTGCGAGGAGCTGGGTTTGCTTCTAGGGGAACGCTCCTCCGAGCACATCCTCGTTTTCACAGAGCTTTGTGGCTGAAAACACACGCCTTCGAAATGATACAGAAGAGTTAGTTTTATTAAACCACCTACTTACAAAAATAAATTGAATGGAAGAAAAACCAAACCAAACCACACACACTAAAATTCACATCCTAGGAAACGAGAGGTTACAGCAGAACCCTGGGGAAGCTCAGCTCCAGCTTTTGGAACGCACCCCGTGGCTCTAGGGTGCCCACACCATGAGCCATCACAACCATCACACTCCAGTTCAACTACACCCACATCCAGCTGCGCAGCTGGAGTCAACACAGAACAACTGCAAAGGGAAAGGGTAGCAGATGGGCCAAACTGCTGAGCAGCTGCAGACAAAGCACCAAACACGCTTCTTCGGAAAGAGACCGCAGAGTAACCGAGTATCCCCCACTGCTCCATCCACCCCAGTCATCTCCAGATTTTTTTATTAGACAGAACTCCGAGCCAACACAAGCACTGGCTTCACATTTGCTCAGTTATGCCAACAGAAAGTTTCTGTGTAAACACTGAAAAAGGAATTGGACTAAACTGTGTCACGGCCTCGAGCGTGGGCCATCATCAATAGCTCAGTCCAATTCCCCAATTTGCCCTTTTCTCTTCAAAATGGAGAATACTGCTCTTCCATAAGGGTCTCCTGAGCCCCCTTGCAAACATCGTGAGCAAGAAGTTCAAGTTTGTGAAGCGCTCTTGACAGTGAAGACTGCTGTGTAAGAACTAACTAGAAGACTCTTACACTAGTTAAGTAGAACAGAGGTTGTCAGATGCCATCCTGAGAGAGCTTTAAAGCAGCCAGAAAGTCAGTAACAGTGGGGAGCAGGGTAATAAACCCCAGAACGCTCCCTGCCCCCACATTTGGCTCAAGTTTATCCCAAATTCAACTCCCAACATTCCAGCTTGTACTACAGAGATTCACATGGAGACAAACTCAATTTCTAATGAACTCTACACGTAACTATCACATAAAAGCAAACTTAACTCTAACTTGTTAGAACAATCAACTCTATTTACTGATCACTGTGTCTTAAGGGAGAGGAACACTCATGACAATGTCCCAGGGGTGGAGGAAGCACTGTGGCTCTCCAGGGAGCAGAAACCTGCAAATACAGCTCCAGTGCGTTCTCCTGGCAGTGGGAGAAGCTTGCTCAGCACAGCAGGTGGAAGACTTCCTGCAGCGCAGTGCTGCCAGGAGGAACATGTTCAGCAGCAGAGGATCCTCTTCAAGAGTGCTCCGTGGGGCCTGCCCCGTGCCCGTTCATGTGAGGCTGCGATGGGGTTGAGCTCTGGGAGGTAGCAACGCTCTGCTCTGCTGTGGCAGCTGTCAGAGGCACGGAGAGGCTTTCGGGGGACAGCGTGGCAAAGTCTTGTCTCCAGTAGGCTTCGCAGAGTGGAAGATCATTGCTGTCACACAGACTGTAGCTTTCCAGAACAAGCAACCCCAGTAAGGAGAGACAGCAGGTGCAGTAAGAGAGGAGGGGAGGGAGGGAAAGGGTGGGGGGAGCAAGACAGAATCAAAGCATTAAGAAAATGGCAAAAAATGTTCATGGATGTAAGTAAGGTCTGCGTTCACAAATTCATCGCAACTCTTGCAACACTGGCCTTCCCTAAGACAGCCCTTAAGGGCTGGTCTTGAACCTCGTGGGCCTAGTGAGGATGAAGGAAATTTCAGAGACAAAACTGTTGCTACAAACTGAAACGGAGGCTGAGTTCTAATGCAGACACTCCGAGTCCCTGGAAAGATCTGGGCTGAAGTCCTGGCACCTCAGATACTGATCTAAGTGAGGCAAAGGCCTCACCCATCATTATTTTACTTAGAATTAGATACCTATGTGAGGGGAAAAAAAACCAACAAAACATCCTGCTTTAAATTTAAATTCAGCAAAAAAACCTAGCACAGGACTTTAGGGCCTGTCCCTGTCATGACAAAGAAACCTCTTTGCACCCTTGCCCTTCCAATGAGGTGCTCCACAGAAGGTCTGGGTCTTCTATGAGAGCTCCCCATACTGATGATAACTACTGATAGCTCCTACCATTTTCAGCAGAACCCGAGCTGTTCTAAAAGCAGCTTGCTGGATTTGACCACTGTAGTCTATAGAGCTGGATGAACCAGCAGTGTGGGGAATAATGTTTTAAAACAACTGTGCTCTGAGGAAAACACAATGTGGAAGAGCCAAAACTAAAACGAAAAATGACAGAAGAAACTGGAATAAAAACAAAACAAATTCCAAAGAGAAGAAGGAGCTGCACAGACAAGAGACATCCAAGACAAAGTGAGTGCTGGAGCAGAAAGCAGCTTGTGTTCAGAGTAAAACAAACCCAATGGGTCAAGTGATTTTGTTGTTGCAGCTTTATTTACATTTTTAATGTGCAAACTCGAATAGATGCTTAGGGAAATATTTTAAGCGTAAAAATACGAGACACTTCAAATTGCACAAACATGAAACATGTTGAGATTTAACCCCACATCAAGACAGCTCCTGTGATCTCAGAGGAGGTAGGAATGGAACATAAATGCAAGTTTGGGGTTTAGGATGAGAGAAGGCAAGCTGGACGTGGAGTTACCGCTTTGGGGAGTAAGCACACAAAGCACTAGTTGCAAGCATCTACTTTTGAGCTCTTTTCTGGCAGCATCACCCAGCTGGTTTTGCAGCAGAAGTGAAGAGGCAGTGGTTACAGGCTTTATATCCGGTGCCTTTGTAAAATCCCTTGGAAGATCACCCTTCCCTACAGTTCCCAATACACGGTGAAGCTGGGTTCAATTAGCAAAGACCTTCAGGACTGAACCAGAACTACAACTCCTTTTCTGTCAGTCTTACACCTCAGGCCATGGTTTCCAGGGAGACCCTGACCACAGCATCCATCACACCTTGGCAGGGGAGTTACTAAGAAAATTTTAGCTGCATCAGAAGCGTAACTGCTTCTCCTGCTGCCCCAGTTAAAACAGTCTGAAAAGGCTAAGCTTCACCTCTCATGTAACACTCCTCAAAAGTCAGGGTTAATGAGCAGCTACTGCACAGCCCACAGCAGCGCTGGCCAGCTTGCTACTCTCCTTCGACTGAGGGTTTGGCAGTGTGTGGAAGGGACTTTGCTACTCCTTGGGGCATGCAGCCAGGCCTGTGTGCAGAGGAACAGCTCTGGGAAACTACTTGAACATGGGGACTGAAAGCAAAGATTCCTTCAGAACAATCTACTCAGTTTTAGTTTCAAGGACCTGCTTTCAGGTCTCTTCATCAAAACCTCCATGTACACACAAACAGCCTGGCAAGGAAACCTGACCCTACAACTGAGATGCATCCTATTAGTTACTCACTAAGAGCAAGGGGCTGCCACTGAAGCCCCTTTAGCACAACATCAGTGACAGCTGCTGGGCAGGAGACACTCCCTCCCATAGGCTTTTCGCAGCCATTGGGAGCAGTGCAGAGAGACCAAACAAGCTGCCCAGCACGGGACAGCTCTCAGCTCTGCAGCACCCGGAGGTGTGCTGCTGCAGGGAGCTCACTTTTCTATAGCCTTCCCCGGAGGGATGACCTAAAATAAACTAACCAGTGGCCTTCAGGGCAACTGGAGCATGGGGGAGCAGTTTGGCAGGATGGCTGTATGGAACCCATGTCCTGGCCTCACGGGACTGCACTCTATAAATCCTGGGGGATCAAGCCACATGAGAAAGTAACAGATGGGGCAGAGAGGCAGCTCCATTTGGGCTCCCAGGACAGCACAGAACACCCGTTTGTGGGCAAACCAGCTATTGCATTTACAGCCATTTAAACATGATTTTCACTCAAGACTATATACGGAATAACAGAAACACTTTTTCCCCACATTAGACAATAAGGCTTCATTAAAAATATCTTAGTACTCTAATTATAAAAGGACTTTGAATAATTCACCATTTCTATATTACACACACAATTTCTTTGGTGCAGAAAAAGACAGGAAAAGAGCACAGGAAGGGAGTAAGTGCTAAAAGCAAACGACTAAATGCTACATGATATGAGGCTTCAGTGGAACGATCATAGCTCTGTAGAGCTGCCAAGTTTCCTCACCTCATGGCCACTCTTGTAAGAAAGAGCACAAGGCAAATCTGTCTGGTGTATGCTGACATCTGTGCTCAGATGTTAGTTCTGTTACGAAGGGTTGACTGACACGGCATCTGGTGCCAGGCAGGTGAACAGACCATGCCAGCACGGTCAGGACTCCTTAGTCCAGAAGTTAAAGCTACTGACACACAGTGGTAGCAGTCTGGTGACAGTGTGAGAGAAGCACTCTGGCACACAGGAGACACTATCATCCCACACCGCATCGCTCTGGATACAGCTCACTGCTATGCTGTGTGCAGCCTCTGTAGTGGATGCACCCCTGACCTTTCAGGGCCTCGACTGGTGCTTGCATCACTCTGCATTTCTGAGATATTTCTAGGATCCCTTGCCACCTCCCCCAAAAAAGTGAGTAAATTCTGAAAAACAACTCTAAACTTTTACCTCTAGTTTACTTCCAATGTCATAAGGAGCTCCTAGGCTAGGTCATATCACTATCTTTTTACTCTTAAAATACATGTATTACTCATAAGCAATGGGCTAACTTACAAAGATATTGAGCAATTAGGGTTTTAGTTGACTTAGCTGGGGTTATAGGCATTCAGCATTTTTAGAAAGAAGGGAAAGGCAAAAATAGAAAACCTGGGCATTAACATTTTAAGTAAGATTTTTTAAAAGTTAATCTTTTGCTTAGAAGTCGTAGTATTATTGCACTGACTTCACTTAGCTAGGACAGGGCAGACAAAATAATCAGGTTCTCATTTATTTTCTCCTGCTTTCATTTACTGCATCATCAACTAGAAGTGCTGGAGTGCATGACAGAAAATAAAATAAAAAAATAAAGTGTCTGAATTCTCTAAAGCCTGTTTTCTACGAGTCTTTTTAAAATATTAAAAATCCCACAAACAAATCATTAATAAGTCATTATTCCATAGAAAATCCTATCACAATACTTCAGAATTCAATGAAACTGAGCATGTCTTTTTTGCTCATTTCAAATGTTCACCCCACCAGGACTCCAGGCAGCCAGGGGCAGTGAACTACAAGGGGAAAGGCACACCGTGTAACCAGGTCACTTGTGAAAGAACTCACCACAAAGATGTGGTGATCTTATCTAACATGAGGACGCAGCTCAGCAAGCTAGTCTCTCTAGGGAGAGAGACAGAGGCTCCTCCAGAGAGATACTCAGACAGAAGCCTATACCCCTAAGGAGATTAATCTCCTTTTACAATGATTATAAAGAAGCCTAAGCAAATTATCTGTCAAATCTTGCCAACTAAAGCAGGCACCTAGAGTTGGATGCTGTGAATACCTCCTTCACCATGACATTTATACCCTCTAGGGTATCTACAAGGAAAAGGCAGGTGCTTTAGCTGCAGAAAAAATTGACCTAATTAAAAACAGGAGTGAAATTTTGCTGGGAACATTCTCAAGACCTATACTCTAAGGACTACTTGTTTGTCTGAGCTAACTACCCTAAAAGGGTTGGAGTCATAAGGCAGAAGTCCACTGCCTTATTTGTACCTGGAAGAGTAATATTCTTCTTCTAGCTCGTATAGGTCAATGGAGATCTCATCCCGTAGTGCAATCAACTTCTTGTCACATTCCTCCTGCAAGCTTCTCAGCTGCTGGTTACGCTGGTTGATAGCTTCATTCACAGAGGGGAAATCATTGAGGATCAAGAATTGCTTCAGGTCAGACACAAGCTTCATCAGGGACTCACCAGCTCGGACCTTGTAGCAGGGAGAAAAAAAGTCACATAGTATACCAAAACAGTGCTTTGCTGCAATTCTAAAACAAGATCTCCCAAACCACTCCTTCAGCCCAAGCTTTCAATAAAGTAGAAACTCCTACATTACATGAGGATTCTCACAGAAGCCTGTAGTCGACAAGCCAGGCTACCCAGCTTTCCCCCTAGAGAAGGGATTCACCAAACAGCCACCCCAAATATCAGGTAACTCTTCTAGCAGCAGTCCTCATGAGAGTTATAAAGGCTGCCCTAGATGCAATAATGAACACAAGAGTACCTGAAGGACGTGCTGCCCACTGGTTTGAACAGGAGAGTGCTACTCACAATGTTTGCAGCTCTGACGTGCATCTCATAGTTATCTTGTTCACCCTGGGTTGCTCGAGAGACTTGAGTTTCATCCTCAATCTAAAAAAAAATATATACATATCCACCTTTACACACTAAAATCCCGATAAACAATTACTACGTTGTAAGGCATCTCATTTCAGTTCAATCCACACCAGGAATCCTTGAGGTGGCCTGTAGACCCTACAGCACCCGTGTATCATCTTTGCAACCCACCCTGCTTGCTTCGGTGGTTCTCCCCCATTCAGCAAGACTGCTTTGCTGCCCACAGGGCACAGGCAGGGAGGCCAGCAGCAGCCAGGGAGAGCTGACTGCCACCCGCCCCGGGGAAGGGACCCTCTTCCTTGACAGACGCCCACGGGGGAACCGGGAGAAACGTCCCCCCATTACCTCACTGTCCCCTCACGGCCGCTCCCTCTCCCCTCAGGGGCTTTATTCTCCCCTCATGATCGCTCCCTCTCTCCCCCAGGCCTTTGCTCTCCTCTCATGATCGCTCCCTCTCCCCCCCAAGGCCTTTGCTCTCCTCTCATGGCCGCCCCTTCTCCCCTCAGAGGCTTTGCC